ACATCTTAGTGCCTCTTGGGTGCATGGCAAATGACGAGTTATGTGCCTCTGTTAATTTTTTTTTTTTTTTTTTAACTCTTCTATTGTCGGGCACATGGCATCCCTGGCACAATAATCCTTCATCTGAGGACTTAGGATCCTCTTGTTGAGAGGTAATAATTCTCTGTCTAAGTGTAAGTTGTATTGTGAATCGAGACAGCTACACTATGACTCCCTCGGTCACTATAGCTATGTTGGCCCGCTCGAAATCTTTTTTTACCCTTACTTCTTTAGTAATAAGGGCCGACGAGTGGGTCATCTTTCTACTTAGGGCATCTATGGCTATATTTGCTTTTCTAGAGTGGTACTGTATATTTACATCATAATCCTTCACCAATTTTAACCATCTTCTCTACCACATATTTAACTCTTTCCAGTGAAGAAATATTTTAAACTCTCGTGGTTGGTAAAAATTTGGGTTTTCTCTCCATACCAGTAGTTTCGTACTTTTTCTCTTGCTTCACATTGCCAAGTTGTCATAATCTCCTTAATATCTTGCCTACTAACTCTTAATATCATAAATGAGTCTTTTATTTATTTTTTATATATATGAAATATACTTAGAATGGCGAATTAGGATCCACTAGGACAAAAATCAAGCATAGGGTCGAACTCTTCTTTGGTGTCAAGGTAATAGCTATGAATACTCATCGACTCTCGGGAAAGGCTAGAAGGAAGAATGGGACCTATTATGGGACATACAATGCATTACAGATGTATGATCATTACAATTCAACCGGGTTATTCTATTCCACCTCTTAGAAAGAAAAGAACTGAAAGAAAATTAATAGCATGACGATACATTTATACAAATTATCTCATACTATTATATATATATTATCCTTACATCATATACCCCTAAAAACAACTTTCATCTTGGAATGTGTAAAACTCTATCCTAAATCCGGGTACTTTTCTCTTATCATATCTCATGTTCCAATGTAATCTTCTTCATATACCGGGTTTCGTCTCATTATTTTGATCAAGACAATCTCTTTCTTGAGAAGGCTTTCAATTCGCAGATTAGGGTCTTATGAGGCTTCCCTTTGTAACTTAAATCCTTGTTAATTTGATAGAGTTCATAGTCCATTTCCGTGAACGAGGTCTGTCAAGTAGTACTAGTCTATATGCCGTTGAACTTTTCGTTAATTTATCTCCAAAATTTCATTTAAGCTAGGGTCCTTATATTCTATTTCCTATGATCGATGTCCAGACGCATCGAGTCATCTTTCTACTTGACCATTAATGTTGGCGCAACTCAAGGAGGGACTTTATGACGGATAAAGCCCTTACCCAATAAGCCTTGTAATTACGTCTCAAGTTCCTTTAATCCTATTGATGTCATGTTATAAGGCTTTGGGGACGGGGTATTCTTGGTAGGTCTTTCGAAAATACGTTCGAGAACTCATTTACTACTGGTACGTTTCCTAGGAACTTTTCTTTTCCTCTTACCTCTACGACACATGTTAATATAGTCCGACCACCTTGTTAAACTAATCTCTTTGCTTTCATCATCAAGACTACCTTTAGAGTAGTCCCGGTACTTGTGCCTTTAAACTCGAAGTTAGGACCCGCTAGTGGTGAGAATACCACTTTCTTTTTATGACAGTCTATACCAGCACGACTTTCCGCTAGCCAATCCATGCTTAGTATTACGTCGAAATCGGTCATCTTTACTAGTATTAGGTGTATGCTTAGAGTTTGGTTTGCTAATATTGCTTGGTCATTCTTTACTCGATCCTTAGTTACTAGGGTTCTAATTCGAACCCGGTCTCTAGCCTCGAGGCTAGCCCTCTTCAGTTTCACCTCATCCTCTTCCTCTAGTAGGGGTTGTCCCCTTCCTCGTTTTACTCTTTCCCGTGGTCTAGTCAGCATGATTCTAGAAACCAAGATAGTATCTCTTAAGTCTAAGGCTCATCACTATGCATATATACTATTAAAAATACATATACTAAAGTCACATTATATTGCAAACAAAATCACTCAACATGCAACAAATCACATCATAGTCTATAATAAATACATGAAATATCACAAAAATTTCAGTAATATCAACAGAAAAATGCATGCGAGTTCGAAAACGTTTCTCTTTTCTAATCTTGTTCAAGACGTACCTGACGGCGACAGGCCACGATGTTGGGACCATGGAACGTGTCAAGACTACATTATAGGCTAGTCTACAGAATCTAAAACCTAGAGCTCTAATACCGACTATAACAACCCTAAATTTTCACATACTCAAAGTCGCTACTAACGTCTCATGCTCATCTCTAATGCAGAAATATAACTCTTCAATTGAACATCATATATAATATAAACTTCAAAAACGCTCAAAACAACTTCTTTTCTAAAAAACACAGTCATGATCTTAGGTGTTTAAATACGAAATACTGATATTTAGAGAAAATAAAAACAAATACAAAATAATTTAAAACAATGAAATGAAAAATAACCTATTCTAACCTAACCTTCGCAGACGTATTTTAAAGTCTTGAGGAGGAGTTCGAAAGAGAAAGCCCAAAGACGATAATATCGGTTAGCGGTGGGTTTGGGCCGTTACATTCATAATCAATATATTACTCTCAATAACGAGAAGTTGGGCAATAATTATGTAAGTGATATGCCAAGTACATTCTAGAAATAATAAAGGAAAAAAAAAATCATAAAGAAAAAGAAGAACCAACCTACGCGACTTCCTGAGAAAAAAGTCGTCTTGATAACTGAAATGTTAGGTTCGTTGGGTTAGTGATCTGAATCAGAGTTCACCACCCAACTCAATCTAACACTCTATTTTTTGGGTTAGATTGTTTGGTTATTTTTTTAATTATTTCAAAAGTTGTACTAACCCACGATATATATTATATTAATAACTAAAATCCTAAAAAAATATTCTAATATTATTTTTAGATGGTTTCAACTAAAAAAAATGTCAACCTCCAACCTCCATAATGTTGTGTTTTAACAAATTCAAAATATTATTATTATTATTATTTTTTTTTGTAAAGACTAGAAAATTTTTTTTATTTCCTCTCTTATTTACTTAGGCTATTCAAAAGATTTGTTGTTTTTAGAATCTGTGTTCATTATTCACTCAGTGGAATCGGTTGTTGGATATTCTCAAGATAAAAGTCAGAATATGGTTGTTGGTGCATTGTGGCACACAAGTTAGGTGATGTGATGACTATACACTAAAATTAGATGCTTTCTTCAAGTTGAGAGAACTATTGAGAGTCTATTATGACATAGATATAAACAGATTACTATTTGTGTGACATAGATATAAACTGCTATTTGTATTCAGGGAGGAATTATTAGGTTTGATTTAGATTTGATTTAGATATTTGATTAAGATTTTCTTGTTTTCCGTGTATTCTGAAATGCTATATAATAGTCAATTTCATTCTTCAATAGAATGAGAGATTTCTCTCAATTCTTCTGATATTTTCGGTTCTCTCTATTTTCTACATTCTCTTGTCTACTTTCCTTACCCAAGTTGCTACATTGTCTCGTCGTAATTCTACCGACGCATGACTACTAACATCCACTCGTTACACATCAACCTATGGATGATGAAGACGTATCAAACCACATAGTCCTCTTGGGAACAATTCCTCGGGATCCCTATCCTTGTACATGTTTTCAACAATTAGGGTGCTCCTAGAGCTACCCGCCTTTGATGTTTCACCCTCCTAGGGTTTAATGGTCACAACTAGGGCTTCGTCATCCATTAGAGTGTAATTACTTCAAAATGTCATGAAGCCAAAAGGTGTATTTTAGAAAATTTTAGAAGGTTCATGAAAATCTTGAATATATCCTAGGCCCTAACTTGGTTTAGATTCCATTTTTATCTTAGAACAACTGGAAATCTTTGAATATATCTTTATTTCCTTACAAATAGGCCTTAAAAAAGTAGTAGATTGAAGATGTTTATGGGACATTTTGTCCCTAATTCTTGGTTTAGACTCCATCAATCTACCCACCATAAGGTTACATCAATTACCTTCGGGTCATTTTAGGTTTAGCTATTTAATCTTGACAAATTTTCATATATAATCTTCATTTTATCGTTACTTAGTCTCACATTTTACTGTAATCTTGTCTAATGACCCCATTTTACCTGGTTTAGCTACTTAACCTTGTCTAATGATCACATTTTACCTTACTTGGTTTAACTACTTAACCTTATATAATGATGGATGATGAAAATCCCACATCCGACTAATCTAGGGAATGATCGGGCAACCCAAAGCAAAACCATATGGACCATATCAGACATTTTATTGTCTAATGACCACATTTTACTCGTTTAACTACTTAACCTTGTATAATGACCACATTTTACTGTACCATATTTTACCGTTACTTAGTTTAGCTACTTAACCTTTTAACTACTTAACCTTGTTTAATGACCACATTTTACCGTTACTTGGTTTAGTTACTTAACCTTGTCTAATGACCACCTTGTTTAATGACCACATTTTACCATTACTTGGTTTAGCTACTTTTAACCTTGTCTTGCGAGTTGATTTTTTTGCTTATTTATGTATCCTTTTTCTTATTTAATAATAAAATTTTAAATAACATTCATTTATAAATATCTTTCCTTGTTTTTAAAATTTGGTATTATTTGTTTTTAATTGTGCAATCTCATTGCTACCATTACACAAAAATTAATATTTAGAACAACTTTTAAATATTCTTTAATTACTGCATTATTCTTTAAAAAAAAATATATATATTTTTTATTTAATATTAAAAAATTTCGAACTTTTTGGTAAATTAATCTATTTACCAATTTTGTTATAATAATATTTGAGCTTTAGTTTTTTTTTAAAAAAAAAACAAAGATAACATTTCCATGCTTATAATTTCACTGGCAGATAGATATGTGATTTAAATGATTTTATTGAGATAGAATAATAGATCAATGAATAGAGATTAGAGAATGACACATAATAAGATCATAGTAAATGACCATAGTGGGCGAGATATGTGTCAGCCAACCATTTGCCCAAAGCAATCTCAGTTGCGGTATTAAAATGACCATGATCCCAAGAAAAGCCTTCAAATGTAGTCAAGTTCATAGGCAACTCCCAAGAGTCAATAGTAATGATGTCTGGAAGCTCTTTCTGGACTGCATCTTCAGCTGCTCTCACTGCTGGCAAATTATGAGTATCGTGCTTCATAAAAAAGTCATAGAGGGCTATCTTAACAATAATGACAGGCAAGAATCTAGGTTTTATATCATTGCGGATGTCGGTGATGAACTTCTTTAAGTTGTCTTTGTATCTTTGAGCAGTGTCATTCATAGCCGCATCGCTTTCTCCTTGATACCAAAACAAAGCACGCACAACCCCACCTTCTTTTTCTGATGTTTTAATTCGTTCGATGAAATTTTGGTAAAAAGTTGCACTAGGATTGCTAGGGTTTTTAATCCATTGTTCAATTAAAGTGCCACCCCTAGCACAAGGAACTAAACCCACGATGCCTGCCTTTTGTCCAGCTTTTTCTTTCAACTGGTGAGCAAACGGTATCCCCGGACCAATCCCTGGAGTTTTCGTTTTGCCGACGTCAATCCCCAAATGGAGAGGTTCGTGTGCTATCTCCCATTGGCGCTCAGGGTTGAACCGTAGGATGGATGGGTCGGATTGACACTCTGATGGGACCTTCCCATCCCACACAAGTTCCCCCTTTGGAGTTTTCTCTACCCCACCTCGACCAGCCATGTTGCTCTGACCGGCAAGGATGAATATGTTTGTGGGAGAAGTAGCCCCTGAAAGGGAAGGGCTTAACAATATCGTACACATCAAGATTGATAGTTTCAGTAAAACCATTTTGACCCCTTGTGTCTGCCAATAGACACAGAAGAAGATAAGTATAAGGGAATTAAAAGCTACTTTCTGTATAAGGGGATTAAAAGCTACTTTCTGTGTCTATTAGCAGACACAACTACTCTCCCGTTCAAACTCTTATCACTCTCCTTCTATTTTATAATTGATCTATGCTTCTCCATTCCTTTGTGAGTGATCCTCACTTTTTATACTTAATTTTGATTCTATTTTTAGTATTATTTAAGTTTCAAAATCAGTTTCAATCGGTCAATATTTGTGGATTGAGAGTATTTTTCGATCTTAATAGTCTTAGATCACACCTAATTTGTTTCTATATATACAAGGATAAAAATAAAACTTCAACCCTGTATTCTTTTTTCATCTTCTTATATTGTTTCAAGCTCATACTTATAGTTTTCTAATATATCTAAGCTCATTCTTCTAAATGGATGAATATCGGAGGTTAAATGAAACCAAGTGAAACTGAACCTAAGAACGGTCTACCAAAGCGAGCTTAAGAGTATCAAGGAGAACCTAAACCGTCAATGAGCTAGAATTTGATGATATTTGTTCATGCATGAATAATACGTACTTTGTGGCCTTATTTATGTGCTATTATTTATGTTATGTGATCTGAATAATTTATGTGATGTATGTATGCATTTTCTTTTATCTTTGATTGTGACTGCTACGTTGATGTGACCATGTTCATGCTTTTCGAGACATTATGATGTAACATGTATGATAAGAATGAATGAAATACCATGAATATGTATGTACGACTCGGGTAGAATTTACAACATGACTAATATGGAAGTATTGCATCCATTATTTCGTTGAATCATGATTTTTAACGTGAGACCTCATACATGCGATATTATTCGTACTTCTTTCTTTTGTGTCGGTTTTCAGTAGTGTAAATGTGTACTAGTCCATAGTCGGCCTAGGAGTACGTTAACTAGCCAACATAGTGGATCCATGTGCATGTGTGTAATCCACGTGTAGAGAAGTAACTCAATACTCATCATATGTTTAATATTTTTCAAGTTTCTACTATAGTAATTTATTGATATTGATATGTAGTTTCGGTAGAATACTAGAGCTTAGCATTTTAGTTACCACTGAATTCCTCTCGAACATACACCGTCGTCTATTTATCTTCTATCGGCTACCAGTTTTCATGTGTTTATACTATCATTAATAAAGAAGCAATAACACACCTAAATGCTCAGATAAGTGGGAAAACGACATTCTTGAACCCATAAATCATACCTTCGATTCTTTCTCGATTCTTTTAAGGCTCTCAATAAAATCCTAAAAGTGTGAACTCAATATATATAGATCTATTGTGAAACAAGATGCCATTATTATAACTCATAATCCAGTTCAACCTGATAGAGTGATAGAGATATTCATAAATATTCTGATCAGGTAGTCAAATTCCAAATTTAGCAGTGGGCATAAATACGCTCTCTCGAGTTAAAACAAATAATATTTGTTAGCGGTGGGCTGGTGGGCTTGAGCTGTTACAAATGTTATCAAAACTAGATACTGGGTAGCTAGCGGTGGGCTGGTGGGCTTGAGCTGTTACAAATGATATCAAAACTAGATACTGGGTAGCGTGTCAGGAAAAACGTTGGCCTCCAAGAGGATAAATTGTGAGATCTCATATATGTGTGAGAGATGAATAAAACATTCCTTAAAATGATAGGTAAACCTTCCCTTATTAGAAAGATTTTAAAATCGTGAGACTAACTGCGATACCTAATGGGTTAAAGTAGATAATATCGGTTAGCGGTGAGATTGAATTCTAAGAACCCTAAATAATAAAATGGGGTATAGCAAGGCTTTTTCTTGCTCACGTGGCAGGTAAAAAGAGAACTTTATATTTCAAATTTGAAACTTCTTGGGCCCATTTTTTAAAATTCCCTCAAAAGGACTGTTCACCAACGGCTTGATTTCTCATATTAGGGTTCATCTCCAGAATTGTTCCTCTTCCTTTTACAGTCTCTCCGGCGATTTCGACTGTGGCATTTTCCGACTACCTCGTGGCGGTTGTTTGTTTATTTGATTTGGAAGACGACTCATCAATTACGGCCTAAAGAACTGCGTTCGCACCTGAAACCATACGTCCTAGGACAATAGAACTGCATTGCTTATTCATATTCAGTTTGATAGAATAGGAAGTAAGAAGGTTGCGTATCAATGGATTATTCTTCAATAAATGGACTCCATAATTTTAGTTTGACTCTCGCATCAAGAAGAGCTGAAGAAGCTGGTTGGTTTTCTTTTTCTTCCGTTCTGGAATCTTGTTGATCTATTCATTATTCATTGTTCCTTTTTTCCCCCTCCTTTATGCTACTTGTGAAGTAAGTAATCTTAGGTTACCAATCTTGTCCTAGTCTGATCTTGATTCCTGTGTTTTTGTAGATTTCTGATAGATGTGGTGGTTTGTATTTGAGAATCCTTTGGGTAATTAAATTCTAATTGTTTAATTTTACAGCTTGGAGGCGGTATGAAGCTGTTAGGTGGCTTGAAAGCTTTGTTGGCCCACTCGGCCTGCCTACTCAGCCATCAGAGATGGAGTTTATTTCTTGCTTGAGAAATGGCCTTGTCCTGTGTAATGCAATTAACAAGATTCAACCAGGATCAGTGCCCAAGGTTTTGTAATTGTTATTGATTTTCTTTTTGAAACTTGTGTGGCCAACTTCGTTTTCAGACCATCACTTATATTCTTGTGAATAAATTGAAGGTGGTGGATAACCCATGCCCTTTACAATCACTTACGTGGGAGTGTCAGCCATTGCCTGCCTATCAATACTTTGAGAACGTTCGGAACTTTTTGGTTGCTGCAAGAGAGCTAAATCTGCCTGCTTTTGAAGCTTCAGATTTAGAAAGGGTATTTTTCTTCAATTTGAATGTATGTGAGCTTTTCTGTTATATGTTACTGAGTCCTGAAACCATGACTTTTCCCCTGAAACCATGACTTTTCCCTTAGGATACATTTGAGGCAAAGGTAGTGGATTGTGTTTTGGCTTTGAAATCTCTTCATGAGTCCAAACAGATGAGTAATGAAAATGGATTTCACAAACACGTGAAATCATCTCCTCTGGTTTTACATTCTGCTAAGAAGACGCTTCCAAGACCTTTGTCCACAGTTTCATTGGGATCTTGTAGACGCTTGGATATGTCTGAGATGAGTGAGAAACAACGTCCTGTTGGAAGCGAAAATGCAGAACTTGAAGGTTTGAGCAGCCTTTCCTCCATTTATGCTTGTATTGTAGCACATTCATTCTAATTCGACTAGAAGATGCATGTAAAGATGATATGAGATAGAATTGAAAGTCAGCCTTTTCGATTATATGTTACTCTATCATGATTGAGAACTGGTTTTATCATACTCTTAACACTGTGTTTTCTGTGACTTGTCTAGAACTAATTGTCAAGTCACTCGTTGATTGCCTGGTTCAAGAAAAGGAAAATTTTGATGGGGACCTTCTTGTTTCTCTAAGAAATGGAGATAAGGTTGATTAAAAGTTTATTACTAATTTTAGGGTTAGTTTTTACTGGTTTTCTTTCTTTTATGACTTCCTAGCTTATATACAGGATCCCGTTAGGTTATTCCAAAAGGTTGTATCAATTTGTTCAGACAAATCGCTTCAAGAAAGCTTTTCAGAGGTCAGTTTTTTTAGATTGAGAAAATGTCTTACACTTCTACTTATTTTCTCTAAAAAACCATCTTGATGTTCCTAATATTATAAAAGTAAAAGTTGACCAGTTGGAATGTGAGACTCACTGTGAATTATGATGAATGAAAGGGACATCCATCCATCCACTTAGTATTGTTGTATGCTACTACATTAATCCAGTATCCTTATTATTAAGTATGATGCACATGATCCTGATCGTATGTCACTAAATTTCATCTAGTTATAGAAGATTTATGTTATACAACCATTTTCTTTATTTGCTTTCCAACCAGAAAGCTCAACTGCAAGTCTTTTGAAAATTGGATCTTGTTCATCTGAACATCTCTTTTTCCTTTGTCAAGTATGTTTTCATTAAAATTCTAACATAACTGAAAAGTATCTACCTTTTTCTTTTCCAAAAGTTTGATACAGGTTTAAAAGATGAATTAAAAGAAAGAAGCAGCTTCCTAGCCCGTTCAGATATAGTTTTAGATAACATTACGACCCTTGACAATTCACAGGTATGCATATTTTGTTTGTTTTGCTTTTCTTGAACTATATTGTTTTCTTTCTTCAAATGTAAATAATTCTTTAAGATTTGGGTAAAGAGTCTATTTGGTTGCTCAATTTCAAAATTGACAATTGAATACCTAAACCCATCAAATGATGGAAATCTGGGTTTGTGCATATTTGATAACATAAATAAGGGAGAAATCGCTTTATACCCCTAAACTTTGTGGGTTGGATCGATTAAAGCTCTATATAAATAATTGTATCAATTCATAGTTCAAATGGATAAGTTATTATATTCTCGATCATAAAGTCAGTTTACCGCTCGAACTGTTTTTGATAAGTGAATTAATTGTATTAGTTAAAGCTCTTAATTTTCATAAGTGAATTAATTTAACCTTTGTCATATTAGTTATTGAGTTAGTTGGTTAGTTACCTTTTAATTCAGGTAGTTAGTTTTGTAATAGCTGGACATTTTTATACACAAAACGTATTTATATTACCTCATACTAATCAATATGCATGCTGATTTATTACTCACAATGTTAATACTAATATAACTAGTTTGGATTGATATACCGAATATAATTTATTTTCAACTTCATCAAATATGCTAACGTCAGCTTGTGCATATTCCTAGAAGCGATGCAAAGCTTGCTACAAAAAGAAAAGCTGCAATCACAGCGAACTATTTTATACTCAAGAGAAGGAACTTTTGGTAATTTCTTGTCTTTCTCATCTAATCTGTATGCATTGTTTTTTTGGATGTTAACTGGTTTTCTCAGAAGCATGGAAATAGTGGAGGCCTGAATTATTGGTAAATTGTGTTGAAAATGGATGACTTGAATATGTTTTTTCATTGTTTCAATATAGCCATTCAAATATAATTTTTTTTAATATGATTTTGAAAATGCATTTATATTTGTTCTGTTTAGTTGGACTGTAGTCTTTTAGCTTTTTTATTGCTTCAAATTCTTAAGTACGAGGGTTCCATTTGAAACTCCAAATGATGCATAAATGAAATAGAGATATCACAAGTATGTGCCTCTATGAAGCTGGATTGTTATATAATATCTTCTTTATCATACAGGATCTCAAAGCTCTTCTATCTAAAACAAAGTTGGAATTTTATGACTTGCAGTCTCAGTTACAAAGAGACTTAAAGGACCTAGGTAATTTCGCAATTAGAACAACATTTTTCCTTTATTTGAATTAAGGAAGGCACTTGAAGTGCCTAAAGTTATATTTTTCATGAACCTATTGTCAATATTTGTCTTCTTTTTCCTCATACTTTCTTTCAGGGCTTGACTTTGTTGATAATTCTCAAGTCGTTTCTTTTTGGGTTTCAGAAAATCAAGTGCAAGAGCTATCAAATGCTGCTCTTGGTTATCATAATGTGGTTCAGGAGAATAGGAGCCTGTATAACACGGTCCAAGATTTAAAGGGTTAGTATGCCTAATGATACAGACGTACAAACAAATCTTTTGACTACCAATTTGATCATAGATCCTCAAATAATCAAAATGTTCTCATCTTTATTTTATTTAGGCAATATTCGAGTTTACTGCAGAATAAGACCCTCGTTCAATTGTTCATCAAAAGATGTGATAGAATTTATTGGGGAGGATGGTTCATTAATGGTATTAGATCCATTAAAATCCAAAAAATATGGAAGAAAGGCTTTTCGGTTTAATCGTGTATTTGGCCCAGCTGCAAAGCAAGGTATATCATTTATGGTAGTTTATCATGTTACTGCTACTCGTTTGCTGACAAGTGCTTCTTTTATTTATGTTGTTCAGATGATGTCTTTAAGGATATTCAACCATTAATTAGATCTGTGATGGACGGTTACAATGTATGCGTATTTGCCTATGGGCAAACTGGATCAGGAAAAACGCACACCATGGTAAGAAGATATCCGCGTTTGCAGATTTCATCTCATTCCAAGCATTTCCCTTTGTAAATAACTAATGCTTCGTAACAAAGAATGAAGTATCTTAAAAGAAAGTAATTGCAGAAGTCAAACCCATCCCAATAGAAAAAAAAAAGAAATACAATATGCAATTAGTTTACTAATGATTATGCATTCCTTGATTAGTTCTCCTTCCTAAATGTATTATATCTTGACAGAATGGTCCATCTGGTGGAGCTGACAAAGACTTTGGAATCAATTATCTAGCTCTTAATGATCTATTTCAGATCCAGAATGTAAGGAAGGACATAGATTATGAAATCAATGTCCAAATGGTTGAAATTTACAATGAACAAGTACGAGACCTTCTTGTTGCAGAATCATCAATTACCAAATATCCTTGCCCTACTTTCTATTTTATTTTATTTTTGTCAAAAATTCTGATTTGCCTAGATTCTATTTCTTTAAAAAGCAGATTTCTCGTTAGCTGTCCTTATATATGATTTTGTATCTTTTCTTTACATTTGATTCGTCACTATGAAATACCTTTGTTCTCGTGAAAATAAAACTACCTAATACCTCTGCCTGCCGTTTATTTTATTGTGAAAACTTCTCTAATCTATGGGCTCAGGTTAACTTTTAGATTTTTTTTGTGAATATTCTTTATGTTTGATTTTATATCTTTAACTAATTATAAATTAGAGATTCGAAGCTGTACTAGTGACACTGGATTGAGCCTTCCAGATGCAACCCGACATTCTGTCAAATCAACTGCTGATGTTCTCAATCTGATAAAACTTGGAGAGTTGAATCGTGCAGTGAGTTTCACTTCTATGAACAATCAAAGTAGCCGTTCACACAGGTCAACTATTATTGTGGCATGCTCACCCTTCTCTATTGTAATATTCAGTATATGTTGCTCCTGTTTAGTCATAACCTATTTCATATCCTGACAATTTAATATAGCTAGATTTTTTTGCATTATTGTAGTTAAATAATATGTTAGCTTGTTATCTAAATAAATCATGATTGGGATGTGTGACGATGTTTTTTCATGTGTCTGCAGTATTTTGACTGTTTATGTTCATGGAAAGGACAATTCTGGGAGCTCCATTCGCAGCTGCCTACATTTGGTAGATCTTGCAGGAAGCGAAAGGATTGACAAATCTGAGGTTACGGGAGATAGGCTTAAGGAGGCGCAGTATATTAATAAGTCTCTCTCTTGTTTAGGAGATGTGATCATGGCTTTAGCCCAAAAGAATTCTCATATTCCTTACAGAAATAGTAAACTCACACTTCTCTTGCAGGATTCTCTAGGTACAGTAATTGCTCTGATTGCCACTTTCTTTTACGGTTTTTTCTTTAATATTATAAAGTGATGGAGGTTGCCTTCGGTCTTCTAGTTATGATTAATATCAAGTGACATTGGATTAGATAGAGTAATATTGCGTTTGTTTCATGTTGAAGAGAGTTGATAACAAGTGGGGATTAACATAAAAGTGCATTTGGAAATATTACATTTGGTCCTTGAAATTTTACAGTCATAGGTAATATAAATATGCTTTCGGAAAGTACTATCAAATGCCTTATACCCGTTTTTGCCCAATCAAGTACTTCAAAAATACTTTTAAATGTGTACAACCAAGCATCAAAACATATTACTAACTTTATCTTTTTTCTAAAGTGCTTTATTTGTGTTCAAGCCTACCATTTTTAATCGTTTCTATTACGTTCTAATTTAACTTATTCCATTGAGAAGTTTCTGTATGATGATCCTTTGATCTAATATATTGACAAAGATTCTCTTGAAAATTTTCTCTGTAGGTGGACATGCCAAAACAGTAATGTTTGCGCATGTAAGTCCAGAAGAAGATTCTTTCAGTGAAACTTTAAGCACTTTGAAATTTGCTCAAAATGTTTCGACTGTTGAACTTGGTTCTGCTTGCTTGAACAAGGAAAGCAGTGAAGTCGTGCAACTGAAGGCTCAGGTAATCTTCAATGCAACTAATTCCCACAATGTACACTACCTCTAATCTAATGCTTTTTATTCTTTGTTTCATCATTTTAATTGTGTGTAAATTTTCCATCCCTAGTACTTCAATTCTCTCATGGTTGGATTATTTGTACGCGAATTCTTTTTTGTTAAGTTTTATCTTTTATTTTTATTTTTTATGCGTTATTTGGTCCCTGTACCAGTAATGTATTTTACCATCCTACTAAATGGTATTATTGCAAGATATTTACATAGTGCTTGCAATTTTCTATTTAGGTGTTGGCTGTCATGTTACTTTTAACCTAGTAGAGAAGGGACTGAAAAAAATGATTTACTCCAAATACTGTATCCATGTAAAACTAATGCATCCACGGGCCGATCTTGTTCGATTCCAAATTTAAACATAATTAAAATAGTGGGAATGGAACAAACCATGGAAGTCTCTCATACTGTTATTAAGTGAGTGAATGATAAACTATGTGATGCTACGTGGTTTATCTTATACATCAACAAAATTTTAATATGGATATCAAATTAAAGTTTAGGGATGAAATATAACTTTGAAAATTGCAAGGACAAAATTCATACGACCATAATGTTTCAGTGATGAGATGGATAATTTTCATCAAAGGTTTGGTTATATATTTGAATTTTTGTTCTCCAAGTGGCCACCTACATGGATGTGTGAAAGTGCTGTTTGATATTACTTTCCGCATATTTTGATTCTTACTGAAAATCCTATTATGTAGAAGTGCAATTAGGGCAATGGCCGCTGTTATGCATGTCTTTGCCCATTGTATGTTGTTAAATCCCTTTGATGAGATTATTTCTTCTTATCACTATACAGGTTGAGAATCTTAAGAAAGCTCTGGCTAATAATGAAGTTGAATGGGCCTCAAATAAGTCTAAGGCACCAAGATCACCAAGACAAGTAGCTGAGAGAACTCCTCCACGCCCTCGAAGGTTGAGCATTGAAAATTGCAGCAGTGCTAAGACCGAGTTACTGTCCAAAGAAGCGATGGGAAAGGGCTCGAAGACACCCTCTATACGCACCAGAAGATCGAGTTTGGAGGGTCCAAAATGTATTAACAACGATGGTTTACTGACGAAGCTAGTAGAAGATGGAAGTAAGAATCAGGCTCTGACATTCCAGAAATGTGGCATAATTCAAAACTCGGTAACAACCTCTAGAGTTTCTCATAGCATCAGTAATGGCACCGGTGCATTGGAGATGAACCATAAGGCTCCTGCTCGAAGTCCTCAAGGTGCTAGTTATATGAAGCGTACGATCGACACTAAAGGTACTCGAATCCCTAGCCTTCAGCTGCCGAAGACTCCTGAACCACCAAAGCATGTTAGAAATGACATCCAGAATCAAATGCAAAGCGATTCAATGTTTCCCACCGACGCCCAGACACTCAATCTGAATAGTACAGCAAGTGGAAAAGGGTCTCGAATAAGAAGATCCATGAGGACCATTGGGAAGCTGATTAATGGCTCTGAGAAGAGGCAGGTTCTATCTAAATTATTTTTCCTTGATGATATAATTTGGCGCTTTACGATGCATGCTAGGCCATCCTTGAGGCAATCGTCAATTTCAGCTGTGTTACTAAAAGGAGAAGAGTAATGTTTGTTTATAGATATGAATTTAACTAACTCTTCCCAGCAATGTTGCAGGAACCGACAGAATGTGACAGAATTGCATACCCCAATGCAAGCTACATCTACTTGTAATATTAATCTTGACATATCACCATTGACAACTAATTCAAGGATGCAAAGGAGGCAATCACTAACTGGCATCCAAATGACAGGGTCGAGCACATCTCGAAGATCATCTCTTGGAGGAAAACCAACTGATTCAAGTTAGTAAAACTCGATTTATGCAAGTTATTCATTGTTAAAACTGGACTCTGAGGCTCTGAGCTTAATGTTGAGCTTGATGTTGTGTTCTGCAGATGTTCAAAAAGTATTAGACACTAGAAATGCGAGGACCCCTCCTCCGATCCGTCAGTCGACCCAGGTAACCAAGCGGTGGCTGTAATCGTGTATAGAGCGGATGCTGGGGGAAGAGCGTGATTCAAGTTTGAGCAGAGAAGTGACTGGAGGTAATTTTTGTAGTATAGAGCTTTAAATTTAAAGCCATCATGTTGACTGATTTTCAGGTTAGAACAAAAAAGTGAGCAACGTAGAACAATTTAACTTTCACTGTCCATTTTTAGGTGGAGATGAACTCTCTTAGTTCTTTCCATCGTAGAATTGGTGTTGATTTCTTCTTTGTATAGCTAGAGATTTAGTTTTTCATGTAATCATTTAGTGTATGCTTGCCTTGCTCTCTGCTGTCCAAGAGAACTTACTGTAATTCTTCACAGCTTGATGAAAACTAAAATACCAGCTTGGGCCAAATGGATTTCAATGGAAAACCCATTTTTTGTGCATAAGAAAAAAAAAAAAGAAAGATAAAAGTTGGAGCTCAAAATCGAAAAAATCGAACTCGACCAGCGGTCGGTTCTATCACTCATTGAACATTGATTCCACCTCCTTCAAGGCCCAGCATTCTCGCTAGCACTCATTCCTTTCTCCGATCGATTTGGGACCACCACCAAATCCACCACCCCCTTTTAGGGCCAAGTGTCTTTACTGGCACACCGCCTCGTGTTTACTCTCCTTCGGGAAACAGTGGAAAGGCTAGCATATCGTTCGGTGTCTGGCTCTGATACCATTTGTAAGGTCTCAAATCCACCGCTAGCATATATTATGATATTGTCTTTGAGCTTTTTCGTTTGAGCTTCCCCTCAAGGCTTTAATCAATGTCTCTAATATCTTTGAAAAAAAACTTGTATTAATCATTGTATAAAGATAGGGTTGATAAGAAGATTTATAATTTAGACCGAATCTAAAAGTAAAAAATCCTTGTAAAATAGTAGTAAAAAAATGATTAGGTCAACGCTTGTGAGTGGCTTTGAAAAAAATCTTGAAAAAAATTCCATAAGAAATTAAAAAAAAAAAAAAAAAAAAAAAATCAATAGAATTCTTTAGAGAAAGCTTCATTCGGAGTAAAAGTGTGAGATAAGTACAAAAAGTCATGTTTAAACGAACGGCTACATTCGGAGTAATATATTTTTCTCTTTTAATATATCTAATATATATTAATTTAAATTTTTTAAATTGTATATTATATATATTAAATATTAATTTAAATACTTAAATTTTTTTTCAATTAAATTAAGCAAACCTTATGGCAAATTGGCTTTAATGATTCAAATTTAATTAATTAAATTCTTTAATTAATCAATTTTCATTCATTAATTATAGTTCATTCTATTATAGATTTAAAGTTGCAACAAATCATGTTTATTGATATAATCATGACAAGCAAGTGATATAATCATTACAAGCAAGTCAATCCCTTAACGAGTTGTTCATAATTACAATTGGGTCAAAAGTCCATTTTACCCCTGTAATTACATTTTTTTTCCTTAATACACTCCTTCTATAATGAACAAATTGTTTATGATCCAATCATAAATCTCATGCAATTAAGAGGATGAGGACTCATTGTTGAAGTCCTGAAATCAGTACTTAAGAAAACAACTCATATATTTTCTCTAGAGGGAATTCCATCTCATGATATTATGTCACAACTAAGTCCCCAATATGATAGACATATTGAATCGACTACAAGTGTCATTCTCACCTATGCAAATTAAAAGACAAGCTCTTAGAGAAAAGAGTTCATAACTCACTCAGGATTAAGATCGAGTCGCATATGATCATCATGTGAAATATTAATTTTTTCAATTAACGAATTTACAAGGAGAGATTAAATATTTCTTTGTCCAATCTTATACAAACTCATTGTATAGGATACCTCCACCACATGTCTCCAAAAATGATTTGATCAAATCATTTGTGACGATTACAAAGTGTCATCAATAGTGTTATAAGGATTAGACATTCAAACTTACCTATATACTATATACCCTTTAAGTTATTACTTGAACACCATTCTCTTATATGTCAACCACATATTGTTCTGGATTACATTAATAATCTTGAACTTTCATGATTAATATTAAAATGTAAATAAAATATTAAAAATTTAATAATTAATTAAGAGGCCTAAGGGCATAAATCTCAACACAATAGGGTCTTGCATTTACCTTAAATATAAGAGCAACACAAGGCTGGAATATTTTAAGAAATATTAAGTAAGTGACGCCACTGTTGAAAGAGTTAGGGAATGCAAACACATCAACATGAATGAGACCTATCATTTAAAACTATATTCTTCGTTACGGAAAGTTAGATGTGTAGTACTTCTCTTCACATAATCCACACGTGGGAGCATAAACCCACCAGGCGGACTCACACACCCCTTAGGCTTGTTAGTCAAGCTAGCTCTTCTGGCTTGTAGTCGAACGCCAGAATGTACATCGACCGTCGTGCACCATGCCAAGTGTCACGGTCATGCTTGTCCAAAGTGTGTTGCCTGTGGCTGCATGGCAGATGTCCCGGTCTTGCTTGTCCAGGACGTGTTGTCCATGGTAGCATGGTCGTTTCAAACCCCTTTTACATGATCTTAGTAGGCCTTTCCCATTTCATGTTGGGTCAATACGGGGTGGATGGCCGTTCACCAAAACCATGTCTACGTGCCCATGCTAAAATGCCGAAAATGTACTATAGGGGGATATGACTATTTGTCCTTTCTTCTTACCCTGAGTTATATACAATTTAGGCCGTGATATTTCTTAATTTGCTTATAGTCATATAATATTGTTTTCTTCAATTCTTCAAATCATTTTCAAATGTATTTCCTCATTCACATTTTCTAAACCTTTTCTTGCAACGTGACTCGAAGCTTGAACATACACCGACGTTGTTTATGACGTCCGAATTTCTCACGGCTGACTTGTTCGCTTGGTTAGAACAAGTACTGCAACAATCGTTGTACCGCTATCGCAAGAATACGATTGTGACAAGTGGTATTAGAGCCGAGTAGGTTCTTTGGAAAGTATTACACAAACATGTCCGCTGCAAAACAACTGGACAAGTTTTAGGCTGACTGATTAGCTAAAATCGAAGAATAGTTACTCTGCATGAGTGTAGTTCTTGATGGAATGATGCTTTTGTTATCTCACATGAATGAGATTGCTGCTAAAGCCAACAGATTCAATGAGATGGTGGGCCGCCTTGAAGCAATCCCTATTCGCGAATTAATGACTAGGGTCAAGGCCCTAGAAGACAAGACCACAAGAGCTGGTGGCTTTGAGCGTGGGGATTGCCCGAACAGAGGAGCGCATCGAGGGCTTAGACAATGTCCAACTAGCGATCGTCCAGATGGTCTCAAATTTTTCTGATGGCTTTAGAGAAGCATTTGGAGTAGTTAAGGCTGAAGTGGCGGATCTAAGAACCAGATTAAACCTCACTGTGAGAGCGATGGGGGACAAATCCCAACTAGGGGTGTAGCACAGTTTAACAAGTAAAGGTCCTAGAGCCCAAACCCTTTTGTGGGGTTCGAGATGCCAAGACTCAAGAGAACTTTATATTTGACCACAAATAATACTTTCGAGTCACTAGTACTGTGGCAGAGGAAGCGAAGGTCACATTGGCAACAATGCATCTAGCTGACGATGCAAAGTTATGGTTGAGGTCCAAGTACATGGACATTCAAGATGGTCGATGTACGGTGGACACTTGAGATAGCTTGAAACAAGAACTCCACTCTCAAAATTACATTAAGCAGTTTTTTGGACTTATGTTAAATATTTGTGATATGTCTGATACAAACAAGATCTTCAATTTCATCGAGGGGCTGAAGTCGTGGGTGAAAAACAAGCTCTATAAATAAAGAATCCAAACCCTTTCCACAATCTATGCTATTGCCAAACGATTGTTTGATCTTGATAGCGAAGAGTCTCAAGAGATGGGGTGGAATAGAGCATTCGCAAATGGAGAAAATAAGAACTATTGACCAAACTCCCCCAGAGGTGGAGGAAGTGATAGATCCAAAGGCTAGGAGGAGGGATATAAATCCTCCAAATAGAGAGGTAGGACTCCATGGCGGAGACTTCACAGCCCGAATAGCCAAAGTCAAAGCTATGACCCCCCTTCTTGCTTCATATGTAAGGGGGATCATCAAGTATCGACCGCCTTATCTGTCTTAGGAGTTGCAAAGAGAACTCCCATCAAGCTAGGAACTTGAACTGGACGAACCGACTTTATGATAATCAAGATGGACGATTTCGACATCATGTTAGGGATAAACTTCCTACTAAAACACAAAGTCATTCCCATGCCCCTAACAAAAAGTTTAGTGGGTCAAACTCGACGATTATCATATAAAAACTCACCAGCCAGAAGGGGTGAAAATGATGTCAGCAGTACAGTTGAGACAGGATCTAAGCCATGATGAACCTACGCTTGCTGCCATTACCATATTGGAAGAGGGAAGCTCGAACGAGCCAACCCCAACAAAGACCTCGCGGTCAATTCAGAAACACTGGGTCACAAGACAAGAAAGTCATACAAAGTATTTATCTCCACCTAAGGAGGGGGGCAAAATTGAGGTTTATGTCATATCGGGGGCAAAATCACATGCCACGAATAAACGCCATATAGTTCAACCCAAGTTAGTTTAATTCTACAAGCAACTAAATGACTTGCTAACAGTTGGGTTCATTAAATCCACCAATACCACGGTTAGTGATCACCTAAGCGCTAGGAAGAGACACCAAGCCAACACCTCCACCGAAGGGGAGAGACAAATAAACCTTTGAAACAACACATGGTCACATAGAAGTACCATCTAGACAGAGGAAGAGAAGAGTCGGTAGGAAGTGTTGACCATGATAGTTTTAAGGAGGAGAGAGATTTCTGATCAAGTTGAGGTCAGGTCAACTCCGATATCAAAGCAACAAGAGTCAAAGACGGGTTGTAACGTATTGTTAGAAAATGAATTTGCGAAAAGACGTCACCGGAGCTCGAGAATTCCGGCGAGGTGTAGGAGTTGTACGCATCCTCCGAGCGACATGCAAGGAAGAAAAGGAGAGTGAGAGAAAAACATAAGAGAGAGAGAGAAATGGAGAAGTTTTTTTTGGCAAGCTTGAAACATGCACCATGACGCCCAACTCACACGCGAAAGAGATCCTCGATGAGTGTACAACCGCCTAAGGTATGTTTCCACGCCTCTCCAACGTCCATTGTCGTCGGTAACAAGAGATAGATTCAATTTTTAGAAATCTTGTGGATCTATCAATGTAGGTGATTACGAGCAATGAATGTTCGTGGAAAAGAAGAGGAGAGGGTCAATATAGAGATAGAGGAAGAAAAGAATGAGAAAAAACGTTGGAAATGACTACGGGGAGGAGAGAGAAAGAAATCAAGAGTCAGCTGAAGAAGACGAATCCAACGAACAGTGTTTTCAATGTTGAAACAT